ACGCCCAAGCCCCCCCCCTCCTGCCCAAAGCCACGCCTCTTCCCCGAGCCACGCCCCTTCAACAACACCTCTCCCCTCCCCCCCAGCCAAGTCCCGCCCAACCCCAGCTGAGGACCGGGCTGCCACGGCACAGCCCGAGCCCTTCTTGGCCACCGTGGAGCCGGGCTGCTGCCCTGCGGTTCCAGCGCCTCCTGGGCAGCTGGGCAGGGTAGGCAGCTTTGCCTACACTGCACCACGCATGGTGGCTGGGCAGATGTAGTTGGGGTTGGCCCTGCTTGGAGCAGGGGGTTGGACTCGCTGCCCCCAAATTCCTTTGTCCCACTTTGAAATTCCTACTGGCTGAATCGACCTGACTTAGGTACGGTTAACCCCTTCGTTCCCAGGCTGCTGGCTAACCCCATGATCATGACAGAAGGCATCAGATATGGGGCTCAGCCTGCCCCTCCACCAATGGTGGAGTAGGGCTGGAGGTCCGATGCCCTGCTTGCAGCCAGCCTGCTCTGCCATGCGAGCTGGTTGTTGCCGCAGACACGTAGAGTAATCTTTGAGTGTTTGCCTGCTGGGGGGTGGGGACTGTCTGTGCGCGCGCACCTGGCTCACGGTGGGTAGGACTCAGCCACACAGCCCCCTGCTCAGGCCTTGTCCCTTAGGCCATTGGAGGGAGGACTCACCCCAACTATCCTCAGCAGCTGCTTTATCCTCCCTACCTTCAGCTGGTGCCTGCTCCGCCCCCGGGGAAGCTGGTGGGGGCTGTCCAGCTGCTCCTGAGATGGGCAGGACTTGAACCCGTCACCCCCTGGCTGTGGACGCTGATGCCTTAGCTTTTAGGACCTCTCCCTATCTTGAGCCACTGTCTTTATCTTCCTACCTGCGGCAGCTGCCCGCTCCAGCTGCAGGAGAGACCCCTGCTGGGAGTGCGGGGCAGGCATGCTCATCAGGCTCACGGGATGAGATGCCCCTGCCCGGGCGGCAGGTCGTTCCATGGCCATACAGCTGGGCGGGCAGTGCATGGCCTGGTGGAACACACACGCCGCAGGCTGCACCAGGCAGGACACCACCAATCCTGCTGCTGAACGTGCCCCACAGCGTGAATCCTTGGGAGCTTTCATAGTCTGGGCATTTAGGCTGTTTCTGTTCCCCAGGCGCGGACTCTCCTTGTGCCCAGCCCCTGTAGCAGAGGCCCGCAGTGCCACAGTCCTATCACACAGAGAGGAGTTACTCCCGCTTCTCCGAGGGGGGTCTAGTGCTCCACAAAAGCCCTAGTTTTAGATTGGGCATAGTGAGAACGCAGCTGTCCCCCACCAATGCCCCCCAGGCCTGGCCTGGAGAGATCAGATCTCCCCGCCCTGCCGTGTGCGGGTTCAGCCCCTGTAGCAGAGGCCCGCAGTGCCACAGTCCTATCACACAGAGAGGAGTTACTCCCGCTTCTCCGAGGGGGGTCTAGTGCTCCACAAAAGCCCTAGTTTTAGATTGGGCATAGTGAGAACGCAGCTGTCCCCCACCAATGCCCCCCAGGCCTGGCCTGGAGAGATCAGATCTCCCCGCCCTGCCGTGTGCGGGTTAGGTGCTGCGCTCCACTCCAGAGGCAGCTGCATTTTGACGGTGCCACCCATCCAATGCTTTGAGAGCTTTTGTGTGGAAGGAGCCATCGAAATCCAAGGGCTTGCTAGTAGAAGCCAGGTTTGCGAAAGAGGCTCGGGGGTGGGGGGGTCATTCATGAATCCTCTTCCCCAGTTCAAATGTCGGGCTGCACCATAAAGGTCTGTATGGGCAGAGATAAAGGGCGTGATGCTGACCGTCCCCTAGTCAGGTGAACGCCCAGGGTCTGACAGTTTGGCCCATACAAATTGCAGGCACAAAATGGTGAGCGCTTGGCACTTGTGCTGGGCACTGGCGCACTGTTTGTGAATTACTCTGTGTCAACAATGCGATTGCTAGCATCTTGCATTAGAGATGTGAATGGTTAACCCATTAACTGGTAAGCATCACCCTTAACCAGTACCGGCCCCATTTAATCGGCTAAACTTAACATTGAACCAGTTAACAAATTAAACCGGATTTTACATCCCTATCTTGCATGCTGGTGATCCTTTGGGCTGCTTGCTTTGCAACTAGAAAGTGGGGATGCTGCTGCTACAATGAATTGTGCCTGACTGCCCTCTACTGAAGAGAATCCGGAATCCCCAACTGTGTGTCATAGTCCCTATAGTGCAGTGGTCACCAACCGGTCGATGGCGGCACCCCGAGGAGTTGATTGCTGCAGGTGGCTGGAGCATGGCACAACCTCGGTGGGCTGAACGCCATGGCCAGGTGGGCTGGAGCAAAGAGGGGCAGCCGCCCTCTTTGTTAACTTGCCAGCTGAGGGTGGGGGAAAGAGGTACTCCTGCGCACGTGTGTGTCCCCGGCTCTTGTCTCCTGCTCCAGGAGGGGGTGGGGCTGGGCCTGTGCCACAGAGCCAGGGCTGGGCGGCCAGCACACATAGCTGAGGGTGGGGGAAAGAGGTACTCCTGCGCACGTGTGTGTCCCCGGCTCTTGTCTCCTGCTCCAGGAGGGGGTGGGGCTGGGCCTGTGCCACAGAGCCAGGGCTGGGCGGCCAGCACACATGCATGTTGGGGAACAGGCTACGCCGCGCTGTTCCCCGAGGGCTGTGGGTGGGGACGGGTGGG